TAGGAAAAAAAAAGTGCGGGCCCCCGAGGAACCCAAGGAACACAAAACCAACTAGAGGAGCCCTTAAAGGAGTACAAGAAGGAACCCCCCAATTCCCTTGCTATAGAAACCCTAAATCCTATATAGAAGCCCTTACAAGGCTCTTGCAGAGAAACCCTTGAGGCCCTGCTAGAAATCAATACAAACCCCCTAGACCCTTGAAGGAACAGTTAAAGGAACCCCCAAACCCCAAACCCAAAAACTTAAACTCAACGCTTAAATTATGGGAAGCCTTAGAGGAACCCCCGATGCAACCCCTACAGGGACCATTTTGAAGAAACCCCTAAAGAGATGCGCTACAGAAACCCCCGCAGTCCCGAAACCCTAAACCCCCCAACCCTAAGCCTCTTAATACGGTTGATGATATAAATCCTGCATGACCCATAATAAGGAATATACCATAATTCCCATAGTTTAGGGTCCTTACGGACATGCAGGATTTAGATCATCAGCAGTGTTAAAGGAACCCTTACAGGAGTCCTTACCGGAACCCCCAACCCTACACCCCAAACCTCTAAAACCCTGAACTCTGAACCCTACACCTCAAAACCCAACCCCCTAAACCCTAAACTCCCTAAACCCAGCAGGAGTCCTTAACGGACCCCTTACAGGAGTCCTTAAAGGAACCCCCCCCCCTAAACTCACCTAAACACACACACACAAACTAAGCCGAAACCCTAGACCCTAACCCCTAAACCCCAAACTCTAGACCCTAAACCCTAAACCCCAAACTCTAAACCCTAAACCCTAAACTCTAAACCCTAAACTCGCAAACCCTAAACCCTAAACCCTAAACTCTAGACCCTGAACCCTAAACTCTAAACCCTAAACCCTAAACTCTAAACTCTAAACCCTAAACCCCAAAACTCACCGGCCGGGCTCGGGAAGCAATCGCGAATCGTCGAGGCGGCGAAGAAGTCGCAGCGCCTGCTCCCATTCCTCGGATCCGGGGCTGAGGGTTCAGGGCTTTAGGGTTTAGGGTTCAGGGCTTTAGGGTTTAGGGTTTAGGGTTTAGGGATTTAGGGTTTAAGGTTTCAGGGCTTTAGGGTTTAGGGTTTAGGGGTTTAGGGTTTAGGGTTTAGGGTCTAGGGCTTTGGGTTTAGGGTCTAGGGTTTAAGGTTTCAGGGTCTAGGGTTTAGGGTTTCAGGGTTTGAAACTTAGGGTCTAGGGTTTAGGGTTTCAGGTTTCAGGGTTTAGGGTCGAGTGTTTATGGTTTAGGTTAAGGTTTCAGGATTTAGGGTTTAGGGCTTCAGGGTTTAAGGTTTTGGGTCTAGGGTTTAGGCTTGGCTTAGTTTGTGTGTGTTTATTGTTCGTAATTTTTACTTCTTTAAATGTACCTAGTTTAGTTTGTAATTAATAGTTTTGAAAATGATTTTTTGATGAGTGGGTTGGGGTTTATGGTTTCGAGTCTAGGGTTTAAGGCAACCCTGAGGGTCCAAAGTACCCGGTAGTTCGGTATGTGGGGTTTGGATGCTCGCTGTTGCTAGTGTTTTAGAGTGTAGATGGTTCTTAGACCCTTAAACCCTAAACCCTAAACCCTAAACCCCTAAACCGGGCCGCGCTGGGACTCCCCCAGCCTCCTCCGGATCCTCCTCCGCCGCGTGGTTGTGCTGGGCCCTGACCTCCATCTCCCTTTAGGGTTTAGGGTTTAGGGTTTAGGGTTTAGGGTTTGGGGGATCCTCCTCCCCACTGCTGCGGCTGTGCTGGGACTGTCCAACCTCCTCCAGATCCTCCTCCAGTGCGGTTGTGCTGGGACTCCATGATGGCCTCCATCTCCAGATCCTCCTCCCCCTAAACCCTAAACCCTTAACCCTAAAAACTAAACCCTAAACCCTAAAAAGTACACCCTAAACCCTAAAAAGTAAACCCTAAACCCTAAAAAGTAAACCCTAAACCCTAAAAAGTAAACCCTAAACCCTAAACAGTAAACCCTAAACCCTAAAAAGTAAACCCTAAACCCTAAAAAGTAAACCCTAAACCCTAAACCTCCATCTCCGAATCCTCCTCCCCAGTGCTGTTGCGCTGGGACTCTCGAGCCTCCGTCTCCAGACGATCCTTCGCATTCCTGGTTTAGGGTTTAGGGTTTAGGGTTTAGGGTTTAGGGTTTAGGGTTTCCATCCTGCTGATGGACAAAATTCTGCATGACCCAAGTATAGTATAGTACCATAAATCCCATAGTTTAGGTATATAAGGTCATGCAGGATTTTGTCCATCAGCCGTCTCTAGACCATCCTCCCCAGCGGTTTAGGGTTTAGGGTTTAGGGCACCGAGCTGGTCTGCCCACTGCAGACTTGTGGATTTAACTAATGTAAGCCTATCCAATGGAAACCGGGGGAGATGAATCTCGCGTTTCAGTGAAGCCCAAGCGCTACGGTCCAGGTTACGTTTCCGAAACACAACCAAAACTCATCAAGGGTACCAAACCCTAAGGGTCCATGAGCACAAGTAGTGTAGACTTCGGCCCCAAAGTACCTATATCGGGACTACTTTAAGGCCAGAGTATATACTATTATTTGGGTACATGGATCCCTAGGCCCGAGGCAAAACTAAACCTTATCAATTCGGCTAGGTGGCAATCTATCCACACATACGTAACATGCCGGAGACTATACGACTGCTTGGAGGGTCGGAGGACTTAGTAAGCAGGTAATAAGTAGAGTTATAAGTACCCCAAAAGGGATCCTAATTGGGGTTATGGTACTTATAAGTTACTAAGTCCCCCGACCCTCCAAGTACGACTGCCCCCTCCCATATCCTCAGCTCTGACCCTAGGCCCAATGCAAAACTCGAAACCCGAAACTCAAACTCCAAATCCTAAACCCTACCTTAGGGACGAAACGAGCCCTAAAAGGGCTTGAGGTTCATATACCATATAGGGATTCATAGTAATTGTATGGGAATAAGGCCCCTACTTTTAAGGGTCATTTGGTCCTCAAGGTAAACCCTGAAGCCTGAACAATATAAGCCCGTATCAAACAACTCGCGAGGGTTAAGGCTTACTTGGAGGGTCGGGGGACTTAGCAAGTAGATACTAAGTAGAGTTATAAGTGCCCTGAAAGGGATCCTAATTGGGGTTATGGTACTTATAAGTCAGTAGAATAACTAGTTACTGAGTCCCCCGACCCTCCAAGTAGGGTTTAGGGTGCCTCACCCTAGCGGCTCCATGTACCCATGCATTTTATACTTTGGCCTTGAAGTACCTTAGTATAGTGACTTTCTGGCCAAAGTATGTACTACGTGAGCACATGGACCCTCACGGTAATGCCTAATGTAGGGGCCTTACAAGTAATAGTTAGGATAGGATTTTGGAGCCCGTTATACTAAACTTATAATAAGGGCCCCCCGAAAATAATTTACGTAACTATGTAGGCCCCTAGCCTAAACCCTAAACCCTAAACCCTAAACCCTAAACCCTAATCCCTATAGTGCCCTGATGACTGGCCTTTCAACCTGACACCGACCCCACAGGGTCCTAAGTACCTACATAGTAGAAAGTAGGGTTTAGGGTTTAGGGTTTAGGGTTTAGGGTTTAGGGTTTAGGGTTAAGGGTTTAGGGTTTAGGGTTTAGGGTTTACGGTGAGTTGCGATTATGATTCGGGTAAGTATCCCGTGGGATTCTTACAGAACCCACACTGCCCCTAAACCCAAAAAAACGCTACACCTACCCGGTTACCCCCATAAGCCCTAAACCTAAACCATAAACCGTACCAACACCCCACAGCTATCTTTTCGTACCCTAGGCATCAAAATAGCCCTGAAGCCTTATATAATAGGGTCTTTGGGCCCAAAAGCCTTACAATATGAGTCCTTAGAATGGGTAAGGGGTAGAGCCTAAACCCTAAACCCTAAACCCTAAACCCTAAACCCTGAACCCTAAACCCTAAACCCTAAACCCTAAACCCTAAACCCTATTAGGGACCATCAGGCTTCCATTAGACTATACTCGGGCCGCGAGGACGAGCCTGGTAAACCCTAAACACTAAACCCACAACCCCTAAACCGGCCGAAACCCTAAAGGGTTTAAGGGTTTAGGGTTTAGGGTTTAGGGTTTACCGGCCGAAACCCTAAACCCCTAAACCGGCCTAAGCCCCAAATCAAGCCCTAAACCCCTGAACCCTATAAACCCAAAACCCCAAAACCCTATAAACCCTAAACCCTATAAACCCAAAATGCCTAAACCCTATAAACCCTAAATCCTAGACCCTGTAAACCCTAAATCCCTAAAGCCTATAAGCCCTGAGCCCTATAAACCTTAGACCCCAAAATCCTATAAACCCTAAACCCTATAAACCCCCAACTTCCTAAACCCTAAAGCCCTATAAGCCCTAAAACCATATAAAGCCTAAATAGCCCCAAAGCCCAAAACCCTATAAACCCTAAGAAGCCCCAAAGCCCAAAACACTATAAGCCGGCCTATAAGCCTTAAACCCTATAAATCCTATAATAAGTCGGCCCCCAAGCCCAAAACCTTATAAACCCTAAAAAGCCCCAAAGCCCAAAACCCTATGAACGCCAGATTGAGATAGGGCCGTTTGGGGTTTACCAACATTCCTATAATCCCTATAAGCCCAAAAAGCCCTCTAAGCCCCAAAGCCCAAAACCCTAATCCCTGACCCCTAAGCCCTATAGACCCCTTAGAGGATCCCAAACACGAACCGTCCTCTAGATCCTAAAAGGCCCTATAGACCCTGTAAGCCCCAGATTGAGACCCTAAACCCTAAACCCTAAACCCTAGACCCTAAACCCTATAAGCCCTAGAAGCCCCAGATTGAGATAGGTCTCCGCAGCCTTCTCCAAAGCGCTGATGACCGCACCTCGCCGAGGCTTCGAGCTCCGACTGATTCCCTAAGGCTCCATATATACTACCATTATGGTAGGGTTTAGGGTTTAGGGTTTAGGGTTTAGGGTTTAGGGATTGAGGCTTGGGGAACCCAAAGTACTACCCTCCTAAGAATGTGCCCTTCTGGTTTTGGTATAGGGATTTAGGGTTTTGGGGTTCATAGCCCCAAACCCAGAGGCTCCAAATACACTACCATTATTATGGAATTAGGCCCCTAAAGCCATAATAAGTATGGTCTTTGGGGACTTAATTTCATAATGGTAGTATATCTGGAGCCTCTAGGAAAGGCTCTACAAAGCCCAGGCGCTGAAAGAGATAACGTCCAGGCGGACCTCTTGCTCCTCAGCCTGGACCAGCAAGCTGAGGGCCTGCGCCGTAGCTAGGGACATGGCTACTAGGCCTTTAAGTAGGGCTGAGGCAAGGCTTTAGGGTTTAGGGTTTAGGGTTTAGGGTTTATTTCAAAGGGCTTATAGATCTAGTAGCCCCATTACCTGACAGCTTAAGGTGGCCCGTGGCTAACGTTTTGCTCTTCCTCAAGTACTCTAAACTGTGGCAAGTAGTGTTGAGTTGTTAGTTGTAATCAGGAGGCGCCAACATGAAAGGGGCTTAAAGGTATTACTGGGCAGACTTAGATGTAAGAGCTTGGAGTAATCCAAGAGTGGATGTGGCATCATGGTTACAATGTTTTCACGGATTCAGTTGAGCAGCCAGAACAGTGTTTACGGGAATATTGCTGCGAAGTCGTGTGTACAGTAACCACGGTACCTTCCAGACAAACCGAGTATGCAAAGTACTCGGGTTTTCTTGTTCGCTCGTTGCTTCTGCGATTGCTAACTTCCGTATTGTGACTACACGGCGTTGGGATTGTTGCTGTTGCTTCTGGTTTATGCGGTTCTGCTCTTGCGTTGTGAAAAGACGTATGATGTGTAGTTTGTTTTTGTTGGGCTTTCGTAAATGCATAGTTCAGGTGTAATTCTGACAGAGAGGACTAGGCATACTAGTTGAAACAACTCCGTTTCATCAGTTATGTCAGGCATATCGTTGAATCCCTAACTCCCACTTCCTCGACTCTCCTGAACCCTGAAGCCCATTCTCTTAACCACGTGTTTCAGAAGTATATAAACAATTCAATCTACATATATATATATATATATATGTATGTAGATGTGTATATATATATATATGTATCATAGCGAGCCCGCACTCCCATCCACAGGGGACTTAGGCCCCCAAAGACCATCCCTGTTGTGGTTGTGGGGATGTGATTCCATACTGATTGTGTAAGGGCGTTCAATATCCTCTTGCAGCCCCATAGGAATTGGGTCCCTAAACCCTAAACCATAACGAGGATCTTCCTCACTGCCGTCGTTACTGCAAAGGCCACCAGGTTGGGATCAGTCCCCTTCCATAGTAGGATGCTTACGACCACTCCTCAGATAGTCGTCCCATGCCATGACCCTGCTGCCCTCGTCGTCGACCTTTTTAGGGTTTAGGGTTTAGGATGCAATGTATCTGACCTGCCTCCTGGAGCGCACAAGCTACCTCCTCAATCCAGGCTATGGGGGTTCCGAAAATAGGGGACCCTGATGTAGTACACTAAATAGTAGGATCCCTTTTTTCAGGACCCCAAAATAAGGTGCCCCGTATTTTCGGAAACTCCCATATGCAACTAGCCTGGCCCCGGAAGATGTGGACCAAAAGACCATACTGCGCAACAAGGCTTGTGCTACCCAGAGGGTCCAACTGTTGATGGACAAAATTCTGCATGACCCAAATATAATATAGTACCATAAATCCCATAGTTTAGGTATATAAGTTCATGCAGGATTCTGTCCATCAACCGAAGTACCCAAACAGTAGGGTTTCCGGTCCCCAAATTCCAGATTCTGAATGGTTTTCGACACTACAAACCCGACTATTTGGGTACTTGGACCCTTAGGGCTGGCTATATGTAGCCTTAGGATACACCCTGCACCCTAAAGCCCAACCCCTAAACCCTAAACCCTAAAGCCAAACAAGAACTCCAAACCCCGGAAGAAGCGGATCTGGGCCTGTCTCCAGCTGCTCCGTTTCTCACAGGCACTGCAGGCCGCATTTACGCTGACAGCAGTGGGCTGCAGATGCCTCGCAAGCTCAAACACTCCGGGAAATCCCACCTCATTTGGGTGCTATGATGGCTCTTTTATGGGATTCTTTAAGGACACCCTCGCACTATGAACCCCGATATGGGATATGAACCTTAAACACTTTTAGAGTTCTATGATAGCTCTTTTATGGAGTTTTTGTAACGGTGCTTCAATAAGGGCTCTTCGTACAAGGTTCTGTCTTCACTAGGTTCCATAGTGCCCCTAACAACATACTTGATTTTAGTGTTATTAGAACATGAAATGAAAGCTAGCTCATGATCATATACCATTTTCCCATGTTACAAGCTTTAATGTCAAGGGCTCGTGGCTTTGGGCGGTTCAAGGCGGTTGAGGGCTTATGGGCTCGGAGTTTCTATGGTTTAGAGTTGGATCAATATGTAGGTACCTTGATCAAACCCTAAACCCAAAACCCTAAACCGAAAACCCAAAACCCTAACCCTAAACCCTAAAACCAAAACCCTAGACCCTAAACCCTAAACCCTAACCCCCAAACCCTAAACCCCAAAACCCTAAACCTCAGGTGTCTTGCCTACTCCGAAGCTGCGCAAGCAGCAGCAGAGCACGCTGCCACTCCCCAGACTTCTCGCAAGCGCTGATGAGCGCCTGAAATTATGGAATCCTTAAGGGAGGGGGTTCTAAGGGGGGTATATAACCCAGTAATCCCGAATTCTCCCTAGTACTCCCTTAGGTTCCCTAAAGCTCCCTAGGACCCTCTCCCCTTGAGCCACCCTCCCTTTAGGATCCTATAATGAGATGCTGCCCAGCCGTGGGTTCTGTAAGGGTTCGACAAGACTTCATCCCGACACTCCTAAACCCTAAAACCCTGACCCTAAGACCCTAAACCCTAAACCCTGAAACCATGAAACCCTGAAACCCCAAAAACCTAAACCCCAAACCCTAAAACCCTAAAGCCCTAAAGCCCTAAAGCCTAAAGCCTAAACCCCTGAACCCTAAACCCTAAACCCTAAACCCTACACGATAGAACCCCGGCTTTCGCGAAGGAAGCAAGGAAGGAAGCAAGGACTATGGTGGGGACTCTGGAGCCTTTTAGGGTTTAGGGTTTAGCGTTTAGGGTTTATAGGGTTTAGGGTTCAAACAAAAGAAAGAGCTCGTTGTTGACTTGATACTGTTGAGGATATAAATCCTCTATTATCTTATTTTAAGGACCCTAAACTACGGGAATTACGGTATATTCCTATGATGGGTACTGCAGAGTATATATCATCAACCGTAGTTTAGACTAAAGTCCTTTCGAGAAGGACGTCTTCAGTGTTCCATGCAACTTGCAACCGGTTGAAGCCAGGAAGTACGCCATGCTTGAACCACAGACAGCAGTCAGCTTAATCCTTACCGATGAGCATCCGCTCCGACGCAGATTCGAAGCTGTACTGCGCAAGTCAAGAATATGAATACTACAGTCGCATGGTCTCTTGTGATAAAGCTCCATGCGGAATGCATGTGCTAGTTAGGACCCTGAACTTTAACAAGGATCAACATCCCAGCCCTTTTAGTATACATGCATGTGCCTATGTATGCTATATAGGTACATGGAGCCTTAGGGCTT